ATAGACAGTGGAGCTGACTGTCTCAACATAGAGAGTCTCTCTAAAAGGAGAGAAGAAGGAGTTTTAGTAGAAGACTTTCAAATATTAAAAGTTGCATTACATAATATTAATGGGATAAAAGGAAACTTTACGAAATTAGAATTATTATTAGAATGGGCAAGCAAAGAAAATATTGATATGATTGGAATCAATGAAACAAATTCAACAGGTAAATAAAACAATTTTAATTTAAGAGATCAAGATAATTATATAAGTATATAGTCGGATGCAGAAGAAAACAAGAAGAAAGGCTCTGGTATCAGTCTAATAATATGTAAAAAATGGGAAAGACATTTAAGCTAAGTAAAAAGAAGAAATGCGTATTACCTAGAAACACTTTTTGTACTCAAAAGGCATAAAGTACTAGTCTTAGTAATATACATACCACACAATGACTCTAAGGTCAGAAAAGATATCCAGCAACAGGTCATCAAAAGAATATTTGAATGTCAAAGTAAAGAAAAAGCTATGAAAGTCATAATACTAGAAGATTTTAATGATATTCGCTGTAGAGAGCTAAATCAGAACAGAGAAGACTCCAAGCGAACCCAAAAACTCCTACTCCTAAAATGGCTTAAAAACTCTAATATAATTGATACATTCAGAAAATTACACCCTTACGAAAAGAAATTTACAAGAGAAAATGATCAAGTAAAGTCTAGAATCGACTATATTTAGGTATCTAAAGATTTAGGCCAAGGCCTTATCTATTGTGACATACTAGAAACAGATGTAGTTACAAATAGCGATCATGCTATCATAATTGCAAAAATGCTAACAGGCATAAAGAAGAAAAACAGATCTTTGGCTTGTGAAAAAAGACTAAAAGGAAAAAGATGGTCATTCCTTCTCGACAAAGCAATAGAAAAAAACTGAGAGGATTATAAAATGAAACTAGACAGTTTACTCAAGAAGAAGCTGAACATTATAAAAGGCGAATATGATCTAGCTTATTTAGAGACATTAAACAAGGATAGCTTATAGGACATAATCGTGACAAGTATAATCAAGTGTGCAAGATCAACCCTCTTAGGAAAGAAGTCCACAGTAGGAAAACCTGTTCTTGAAAAAAAGAAAGAGATCAGAAATATTAAAAAAAATCTAAAGATAATTGGAAGCATATGTCAATAATGCTCCTCAAAAATAGGGCAGAATATCAATAGCACAGATAAGTATTTAATGAATGCAAAAATAGCAAGAATAAATAGTTTGTATGAAACAGAAATAGAAGAGCTTTCAGAAACTAAGTAGACTAAAAAAGATACAAAGAGCTTAAGGTATAGTGGAAAATCATATATTTAAAGCTCAGCAAGCAAGAAAGAAAGAGGATCTCAAAGAAATTAATGTAGTAGTTGAATACCACTGCGAAGCAATACAAGGAGAACTTAAACATATGATAAGTAGCCTACTTGAAAGATCTTTAAAATAAGTAGTTATAGACAGAATCGTTAAAGAGGACAACACAGAAATAGTACTAGTAAACCAGAAAGAAGAAGTATTAGAAGAAGTGAAAAATCATTTCAAAAAGCAATTCCACAAAAGAAATACCTGCACCTTAAATATGCTAATCAGATGAAAAAAAGTATATAGTCTACTAGAAAAGTTAGATAGCAAAATATACGATAGCCTGGAAGACGAGATCTCTAAAGAGGAATGGCTAAAGGTACTCAAAAAGACAAAGCCTAAGTCTGCACCAGACCTATCTAGTATAAGCTATCCATTGATAAAAAAAGCAGATACAATAGCATAAAAAATATTCAGACACCTTGCTAACCTGTATATAAGAGAAGGAGAAATCCCATCCAAATGGAAGCTCAGCTAACTCTACTCAATTCCTAAAGAAGAGAACTAGAATTATAATTTGTCTAATACTCGCCCAATTGTTCTAATTAAAACTTTTTGTAAAACAGTAGTGAGGGTTCTAACACACAGACTAGACAAGACTATGGTAGATTACAATGTCTTGGAAGGTCCTAATTATGCAAGGCTTTCAGACGACAGCACAATGAGCCCAATTTATATAATGAACAATTTACTCGAGAATACAAGACAAAAAAACAATAAGCTATGGATTTTATTCCAAGACATGCAGAAAGCATTTGACTCTGTAGGCTTAGAAATGCTAGAGAAAGCTTTAAAAAGAATTAAGCTTCTAGAAAACATGATTAATTTCATATTAAGCTTGTATAAAAAAAGAAGAATCAATGTGATTACATGCTTCGAGCTAACGAACGAATTCGAAGCTGAAGATGGACTCAACTAAGAAGAAGTTATCTCACCTAGTGTTCCGAGTTGGTAAAAATTTTTCCAATCGATTAGTTGCCAACTATAGTTGCAACTAATCGATTTTCCTATCATGTGACTAAATTTGTTGATTGGCCAATCTAACTAAAGAAATCAACACGAACCAGCCCGAATAGACTGAATATCTCAGAATTTAACTAGTTGATAATTTAATCGATTAGTTGTTTCAAAATTTTCCAAATCGATTAGTTGAAAAATTGTCAACTAGTTGGTTTTTCAACTAATGATTTGGATTACTACCTCAGAATAAACTTACTGCATAAGGAATATATGATAAACTTCAAGAGTTTGTATTAAGTGGAGAAATTAAACATGATGATGTACCTAAAGTGTCAACAATACAAAATTGGATTAGCAGATATCATAGAGAATTCAAAGAAAAAGCTACAGAACAGGCTCAAAAAGTATTAGAAGAAACTCGCATAGAATATTCGACTCAAAAAGCTGAAAGAACATAAATAAAAACTAAATATAGTACTTACTCATTGGATTTAATGCTATATTTGTCAAAACTTTGTAATTAAAACCAACTCTATTAGAGGTTAAACACATCTATTCATTTATTTAAATAGACAAACTCAGTATATATCATAGACAAATTATCAACTAATATTACTGAATAAATCAGATTAGCTGAATAAAAATAAATAATAATAAAGCAAAATATTAACAAAAGTCAAGTGAGAGAAATTAGCCATGGATAAACCGTACTTATAATATAAATCATTAGATGACAGAGTAATCTGATCTATCCATCTAAAACTTCTAAAACTTAATTAGATAACTGATACAAATATAATATCTATTCTTTTGATGAACGGATCCAAATTAATTCATTTATATTAAAAGAACCTTTGTTATTCTGTTCTGTGTTCATTCATAATTTCAATTTTACTTAGATATCCCAGCTCGAATTCATTTTGTGTTTTAGTAGAAAGGAAATCTATAATTTAGTTATATAAAATAATAATAATTTTTTATAATAATTGCTTACCAATATATATGTATATATATTTGCTATATGTGTATTTATATATTGATTGCAACAGCCAATAATACAAGTAGAGTAAACCTAATTCTCATAACTTTATATATCATAGATATTAGCTATTTTGGTTTTCTTTTCTAACACAAAATGAGCTCGTTCTGTGTTCTAGACAAAAAAAAAAATGGCTTATATGTTTGACCTATACAAAGAAATTATTTAGCTGTTTATTCTATACAATCGCTAACTATTATTAGTCTTGTAAAATAAATACTGAACCTGTCCTTGCTTCATCTTGGTAAAACTAATTATTTTACAGCTGTATATCTAAATCATGTCTGAAGATTTTAACTTGATAATATTTCAATGTTATATGAAATTTAATATAGTTTGGGAAGAAGGGTTCGTCCTTTTATACATACTTTTTTTTTTTAAAAAAAAAAAAGAGTTCAGATAGATAGTTTTTATTTATCAAACGCTTTTTAATAGATCAAATATGAAATATAAAAAAAATGTTTGTTCAAAGACGATTATAATGTTTGTCTTTAACAATCTATGTATAGCTGCTGTTAATAGAAATTAGGCAGATTTATTAGAGAAATCTACTTAATTTCTACTAACGGTAGCCTATATAATTGAAGATTCTATTGCTAATACTTGGTTTGTTCTATTTTTGATAAAAAAGTGAAAAATTAAGTGAAATATTACCACCTTGAATTGCGAAAGATTTGAAATCATACCAGTTTATGCTAGGTTTGTTGTATAGAATATAGTGTGCATCTAATATAAAGTCAAAAAGCATGAAACAAACCTTAAAAAAAAGAATATAAGCATTTAACTCGAGTTATCTAGATTGGAATTGTATCATTATAGCAATAATTTAACTCTGATTGAACTACTTTAATTTGATATAAATTTTGCTTTTTGAGCAACTTGCATATTGATCATCTAATAAAATTTACTATTACATAGACTCTCATTAGCTCACGATATTGAAATTAAATATTAAGTAGAAGTAAAAATTAAAATAAAAAGATTTTGTATAGTAGAAAGATTCTTTATAATAATTTTAGTTTAGAGTGAATATTTGTATAGATTATCTTCTAGAAAATTAATAATAGAAAATATAATTAACTATTTAGATTTAAAGAGGTTTTAGAAATATTTAAGTTAAAAAAAGTTATAGAGTTCTTTAATAATTATTATATTTTTAATAAAGTTTAAAGTTTAAAAAGAATAGTATATTAGTACTATTAAAAATAAATTTAAAAGTAGGTCTGGCAATCTTAGTATAGTGGTTAGGTTGCTAGACTGCTATGCAAGAGGTCTGGAGTTCAAATCCCACTATCGATGAATTTGAATAATTACTCAGACCTTTGTATCTAACTTACAGTAAACCCTATTCGTTTCTAGAGTTGTAACCCTATAAATTAAGTTGTACTAAGTTACTCAAACATTGGAAGTGTAGTGTAACATTACACAAAGAAATCTAAATAGGATCTATAAACAGGGGACCTGCATAGAGAAATTCCAAGTTAGTAAAGTAGTACGGCTTCGACAGTCAAATCGGTCAATGCTTGATCTAACAAGAAACATTACTGAAAAAATATGAATTGAGATAGATGCAAGTAAGTTTAGTTCATAGTAGAGGATCAGTAATACCAATCTAGCTTGGCAGCTAACTGGATTTGGAAGGATCTGTCTTGTGAAATATCCTAAGAAGGAGAATACAGATACCAGTGGAGAGCTACAGTAGGAACTAGGGTCATATGAACATCACAAGGATCTAAGCTAAGTGAGTTTGTAAAATAGATATGGGCTACTCTAATAGGTTTGCTTCAAGGTTAACTGGAGCTCTGCAAAACTTACAATATATTGAGTACAAGTATCCTGAGAAGATTTAAGCTAAAGTTAATAAATAGATCTACAACGAACTAGCTAGCTTAAGCAGTTAGATGTTATAGTGATGTTAGTTTATAATAGTATAGGTTAGTTGAACAGAGTATTTAAATAGATAGCTCACAGGTAGGTTACAGGTATGGCAGTATAGTGTAGAACTAATCAGGTAGTCTATTGCCTGTGCAGAGACTACTTAAATTAGACAATGACTAAAGTTATACAAGTGGCTTGTTGTACACTCTTCATATAATTACAAACTGTAGAGAATTACTCTTATGTAATCTCGTATATCAAACTAATAAAAATCGCCCAGCAATGTAAGCTACCTTAAAAAAAAAAAAAAAAAAATAAAAAAAAATAATAATAATAATCTAGAAACTTGTTGTAATTTATATAATAGCTTTGTTTATTTAGATTTTTTCTCTCATTACTTTTCATTTTCTTTTGAATATTACTTTTTTTTTCTATTTTAGACCTTTCTTTTTTGCTATCACTTGTTGTAGTCTGAGCTTTTCTATATGTCTTCTAGTTTTTTTTATACTCTTTTAATGCTAAACTAATCAAAGCCTTTTGCTAATAACTTTCTCTTCTTTGTACTCTTTCTTGCACATATTTTGAGCATTTACCTTCTTGTTCTTGTTCAAAGTCTCTTCTTTTTCTTAAGCTCTTTTCATTTCTTTTAGTAACTACTTTATTCTCTTCGAAGGCTTTAGCTCTCTAATTTTTTAGTAGCTCTACTTCTTGGCCTCTTGTATTTGCTTATCTTAGCTTATTGTTGTAGTAGTATATTGAAAATCTAGAAATATTTATTATATCTTCTTAATTTTCAAAATATACTATTACACTACTTATATTATTATTATTAGTATTTTGGAAAATATGTAATACTTTGACTTCAGAATTCTTGACTTATCTCTAGAGCAGTATTTCATTTATATTTTCTGATAGATCTAGTAGTCTTTTGCTAAATTTGTTTTTGTGCGAAGTAATTCAAAATTGTTAGTATCTACTATTATTTTTACTAATACCTAATTTACGAAAAGCAGATACCAAGTCTTATATATTTTCTTTTAATCATAGATACCTGCTTTAAACTCAATCTCTGCTCTTGTTTTGTTATGTATACTTTTGATTATCTCTATATGTTCTACTTTTCTTATAAACTAAATTATCTCAAAAACTTGGATCTTTTTGCTCAGTTTGGCAAGTCTCAAACTATTATCTTGTTTTTCTCTTTAGTTTTATTTAAGCTACTAGAATCTTGCTAGGTCATAGGATTTTCTTTACTTGCATATTCATATTAATCTGAGGTAATTATATCTCTTTTTTTCCTTCTTGTTAGAACTTCTTCTAACTCTACTTTCACCTGTTCTTCTATTTTTTCTCTTGTATTTATATTAATACTCTCTCTATTTTGACTATCTAGAGGTTGAGCAGCCTTGTTTTCTTCTATATTATCTTTACAAATTAATTTAGCTTGCTTATATTTTTCTTTTTTACTTTCTAGTTTTCTTTTGTTTTTCTCGTAGCCTTTCTCATAGTTAAAGATAAGAGTATACTATAAATTACCTCGCTCAAATTTTTCAAATATTTCTTTAAAATGAACATTTCTTCTAATTGACCACCTTAGAGATTTTTTTCTATGACTTGCATTATCTTCAAGTATTTTAATAGCTACTACCTTTGTTTTTATATTTTCTTTTCCTTCATACCTATCTTTATTTGATACCTATATGCTTTTCTCAAAAGAAAAGTTAGACTCAGCTAATATTAGATCATCTTCTGATTCTTCTGTAATATCTGAGTAGAAATTTGTACTTGGTCTAAGGATCTCTTTATCTTAGATTTTTTTAATATCTTCTATAAGGCTATAATCTTCTTTATTCCTTTACTTACTAGAAGTTGATTTTCTAGAAGGGCTTGTTCTTCTTTTGTACTATCACCTATCTTTGTAGAATTTGTTTAGTCTGCTATTTCTATATCTAATTTACTCTCATTCTCTTGTATTGTTAATTCATCTCTTCTTACTATTGTATTTTAGATTTTTTGTCCTAATACTATCTTTACTTTATTGATTCTTTCTGCTATTGCTGCTCTTTTTATTACTTTTCTCCATTCTCTTACTACTATTACTATATTACTATTTACTTCTAAAATTTCTGCAATTATTTTATTTATATAGTCTTCAAGACTTTTTACAGTATCACTCCCTTCAGCTATTATTTCTTTGTTATATTCTTTTGTAACTACTCTAACTAATTTTGTTACTTTAACTCTATTTTATGTACTTCTTAGCTCTATATTCTATTTGTAAAGTGATCTTATTTTTTTTTTGTTAATTTTCTGTAACTTTTTCTAATTATTAGTAAGCTATCTGGTATTGGTTTTGTGTTTATTGTTTCTACTATTCAGCATGTGACATATAAATTTACCTATAATGCATTTTGTTTATCTTAATTTGCATATATTTGTATTATATCAAATAATCTGCATCTTAGAGTTTGTTTAATTCCTCAAATTTCTAAAAAAAATTTTTGATATTTGTTCTAAAGTCAAAAAATTCTTTTATATTTC